TTCGTTTAATTAATGCGAAGATTTGTTCATGACTCCTTGCCAAGTATTTTCTGGTACAGCGTTGCGCTTGGAGGCTATCGGCCTGGCAACTCTTCAAACCTGATAAGGTCTGTAGTTGTAAATCAGTCTTGAAAGACTGTTTGCTGGGGCTTTGCTGGACATGAATGAGAGGAATTCACATTAGCCTAATAAAAAAAGGGGGGTTTGTCCAGACGAGTTGTGATTTTTGTAAAGCCTGGGTCAGAACAACGTCTGAACTCTGCCAGTGGAGATAATGGTGGGGTGAGAGATTTATTTAGAGGTTTCCAAGGACATGGGTGTCATAATTGTTATTCCATATTCATGGGCAAGGTGGGGGGCCAGGAGCCAGCATCGGTTCCCACGTAGGGATTCCTTCTCTGAAGCAAAGCATATACCAGGCATGACTCAACAGCTGCTATGAATGCAGCTGCTGATCAATCTGTCAGGAGACAGTGAGGTTTCAGGTTAATTGACTGGGGGAACGGGAGAACTCTCCACGTACTTTTTATTCCCGTCAGTTGTGGTGGCCTCACAAGCGCAGAGGCCTTTCCTGCTTTGCTCACATTGATTTTGACAGGCACATAAAAAAGACGGGAGATTGATTTTGTATATGGAACTGCGACAAGGTTATTGTATGCCCAGCAATGAAGGAGCATTGAAATACCCGCCTTTTGGATTGTAAAGATGACAGAATGAGCAGAAATGACCAAACTGACCTCTCTGGATAAACCAATGACTAACTTTTATTAAAGACTTGAAACCTTTGTTTGAAAGGTTGTTTTGTTTTATTGAAAGTGGGGGAGAGGGAAGGGTGATTTCTGAATCTGCTGATTGAAAAAAGGACTATGACTATGGGAAAGAAGGAATTTCTGTAACATAATCTTAACGAGGAAGCAGGGATAGCTTCTCTGCTGCAGAGAAGATCCAAAGTCACTTTAATTTTCTTTTTTCACCTTTTTCTAAGTGCATTCCATTTTGCCCAGGGGTGGGATTCTACAGGTTTGCACCTATTTGCTAGAACCGGTTGTTAACACTCTAAGCAGTTTGGAGAACCGGTTGTTAGAAGAAATTATTGGCCTAATCCTGTAAGGAAGGCAGGAAGGAAACATTCTGGTCTTGCTTACAGAAACTGCCTCTCGGTTAACCCTTATTACATTCTTGGCAGGACTAGACTTCCTGTCTCAGGAACTTCTCTGGAATTTATTTCCCCCCTCCTTTGCTGGTACTTTGCTTGTGTGGAGTGACCGTTCAAAGTTACAATGGCACTGAAAAAAGTGACTTATGACCATTTTTCACACTTATGACTGTTGCAGCATCCCCACAGTCATGAGAGGCCAGGCGAGGAGATGCGTGCCTTGATGTGAGTGATATTGAGTTGGCCACACCCAGCCAATAACATGAGCACCAAGCCATGTCCACCCAGTCACATGGCCCAAGCCAGGCCCACAAAACCGGTTGTTAAAAAATTTGAATCCCATCCCTGATTTTGCCTATCATTTTCCTAACTTTTCTTTGATACATTTTCCAATTTTCCTTTTATCTGTGTAAAAATAAGACATGTTTGATTGGGGGAGATGGGCGGCATGTAGATTTCATCAATAAATAAAAGCAAGCAAATAAAAACCTTCAATAAAATATATGTATTAAAAAGAGAGGCTACATTATCCTAGAGAATGTAGTATAATTGCCTTCATTTGTTATTGATAACTGGCCATGACTTTGCATTAGTGAGAGAGAGAGAGAGAGAGAGACCTTGTTTGATTTTCATCGCTTTCCATGATAAACACATTTCCTGCATGAAATTATGAAATAGTCAGTTGTTACAAGTCTGCAGGTGAAGGAAAATAGAACAGAATGTGATTGGAGAGAAAGAGCAGAACTGGCTAACTTCCTGGCATAGGGGAAAGTTTGCGCCAGGCTGACACAACCATGCTGTGATTCTTATTTGAGCAACTTTACTGTAATGCATGCCATCTGCCTGTTTTGTTTACCTTGGATATTCCCACTTAATCCTCAGTTCCCAGCAGTTGTGAGCAGCACCCTGTCCCTAAAACTCTTGATTTTTCAGGTAGAAGAACATGCCACGCTGTTGAACAGGATAACCAAGTTGGAAGGGATCTTGAAGGTCTTCTAGTCAGGCAGAAAACTCTATACCCGTGATAGCGAACCTAAGGCACGCATGCCACAGGTGTCACGCAGAGCCATTTGTGCGGGCATGCGAGTCCTAGCCAAACTTACCTGCACTGCCACCCAGCTGGTTTTTGGCCCATTTGGGGCCATTTTTGCCCTCCTGGAGGCTCGAGGGAAGCCTCTGCAGCCTTGGGAGCCCGAAAAATACCGGAAATACCGGAAGTGCCGAAACGGGCCCATTTTCAGCCTCCCAAGGCTGCAGAGCTTCCTTCGAGCACTTCCGGGAGGACAAAAATGGCCTCAAACAGGCCAAAAATCAGCTAGGAGGTGTACACAAGTGCAATGCAGGTAAGGGGGCAGGGTGGGTGTGTTGCACATGCATGCACAGGGGACGGGACGCATTGCATTGTGGGTGCCGTCAGGCGCGCACTTTCGGCACACCACAACAAAAAGGTTTGCCATCCCTGCTCTATACCATTTCAGACACATGGCTATCCATTAAAAGCCTGCCGTGTTGGAGCGCCCACAACTTCTCGTGGCAACTCATTCCACTGATTGATTGTTCTCAATGTCGTTTGAAACAACCAACTTGTTCTTCTACAATTGTGACAGAGCAGAAGCATGATAATAGCTTTGATATTTTGCCTACCTTTTTGAATGCCGTGGTAAATGATCTTCACAAATATTGGCTCTATGCTATTGTGCCTATGGCAGCAAACCCTAAGTGGACTTAACGTTGTTGTTACTATACTTACTATATGTGTGAAAACCTAGAGGCTTTTTCATTTTTTAAGGTGGAAAACAAAACTGAATTGTGCCTGGGAAATTGTGTGCCATAATAGTTTTACAACTTCAGCCACAAATTTGTCTAGGTTAGTTGCATTCTATGTAGATCTAATAAGATGCAAAACAGATTAAAAAAAAAACATTTTTATTTTCTTATGCATTTGAAGGCCCAGTACACTTAGATGCCACAATGAGAAGAGAGGTACGCTTGATGGATTACCCTGCTACTATGAGAAGGCAGGCTATTAATAAAACTCAGTGCTTATATTTAGTGTATTGCATTTGCAAACAGAAAACGTCACATTGAGTCCCTAACCCTCAACTCTGTTTAATTCCCCATGAAGAAACAGAATTAATGATATGCTGTAAGATGTGAATTATTTTCTCGGGAGCCAGGAAAGTTGAAAAGTGATGTAATATTTGGGGGAATATTCATGTCATTGGGAAAACTGTGGCGTTTCTTTTAAAGCTACACAAGAGTCTGTAAAACATTTATAGTCAGAAAAATCACCCAGTTTGAAGATGGATGCAAATATGAGCGTCCATATACATTTAACATTTTCAAATCCACCTTGACCACCTTATCATTAATTCCTTTTCTCTTAGTGAAGGTCACCAGCCTTTGTGGAGTAAGGATAAAAGTGAACAGTTCAAAGTCACTATGCTATGATTCTGAATACATGCATAGTTATAAGGCTTAACTCACACCCTGGAGTGAGTCAGCCATTATTGTACTCTGCGTGTGCTCTGTAGCACTCTCATCTCAGTCTAATTTGAAACTGAACTATACCTGGACCAAATTAGAAACCACATTGTCAGCTTTCACTAACTGGGTTGATGTATTTCATAGAGCTCTTGGATCATGTCTCTAAAGATTCAAATGACATAATTCCCTGACTCTAAAAATCATTGAAATTGACAGTTGTACACTGAATGAAGGAAATAACCAAAGCATCATCTAACAACTTTCTTATGATTTATGAGCGATGACCTATCACTTTGTTATTTGTATGTACACGGAGAGCTTATGCACCCGAGGTAAAGTCCTTGTGTCCAATCACACTTGGCCAATAAAGGGTTTTTCTATTCTATTCTATTCCATTCCATTCCATTCCATTCTATTATAATTTTATTCTACGTTCTATTCTATTCTATTCTATTCTATTCTATTCTATTCTATTCTATTCTCTATTTCTATCTCTGTTCTATTCTATTCTATTCTATTCTATTCTATTCTCTACTCTACTCTACTCTATTCTCTATTCTACTCCACTCTATTCTCTATTCTATTCTATTCTATTCTCTATTCTATTCCTATTCTATTTTATTATGTCTCCTATTCTACTCTACTCTACTCTACTCTACTCTACTCTACTCTACTCTACTCTACTCTATTCTATTCTATTCTATTCTATTCTATTCTATTCTATCCTCTATTCTCCTCTTCTCTCCTCTATTCTATTCCTACTCTACTCTACTCTACTCTACTCTACTCTACTCTATTCTTGTTCAGTCCTGTACTTTGCCACCTTCTCTTGGCTATTTGCAAACCCATTTTAAAAATACATAAATCAACATGTCACGTTTTAATCTGGCACTCGGTGCGGTGGATGTTTTCTGTCTGCCAAGAATTCGGTGTAACTGTAAATTCTCCTCGTTTCCTTAGCCAAGCAGAAAGGAAATCCCATAGTTGCTCTGCCGCTGCCTTTAACAAGAAGGTTTTTTGGGGGGGGGGGGGGGGGGGGGAGCTTGAGCTAAACGCGTCTGTTGATCATATTTTTTTAAAACACGAGGACGGAAAACCCCACTGCTTGGATTTTCTGCCGGGGGCTGAAATAACCGTGACTAAACGTGGTCCCAGTAGGGCACCTTTTTCCAAGCAGAGGAGAGAGGAGGGGAAGCGGGGGGTGGAGAGTGGAGGGAAGAGAGCCAGAATTCTAATTCAGAACCTGGTTGGGTTAGGGGCTATTGTGACGTCCAAATGAAAGGCGGGGCCCGGGGTAGCAGCCGCTTTATAAAGTCATGCCGAGAGGGACGCGGAAGATAAAACCGAGGCAGTTCGCAGCTGCGGGAGAACAAAAAAGAAAAAGATCAAAGCGCAAAAAAAGTAGCCGAATCCTTTTGAGTTTCGGATCTTGCTTTTATTCTAAGCGACGCTCGCTACGGTAAGTTTGCTTGCGGAGATGTGCTTGGGTTATTTTGTTTTATTTTTTGCCTTGCTCGTTAAAAGGCAGGGGGGGATTTTACCCTGGGATTTTGCTCGGCAAAGAAAAAAGAAAGGAAAGGAAAAAGGAAAGGAAAGGAAAGGAGGAAGGAAAGGAGGAAGGAAAGGAAGGAAAGAAGGAAGGAAAGGAAAAAGGAAAGGAAAAAGGAAAGGAAAGGAGGAAGGAAAGGAAAGAAGGAAGGAAAGGAAAAAGGAAAGGAAAGGAGGAAGGGAAGGAAAGGAAAGAGAAAAGGAAAGGAAAGGAGGAAGGAAAGGAAAAAGGAAAGGAAAAAAGGAAGGAAAGGA